GGATAAAGAAGTTCAGCAAGAACAGCAGCTACTGGGGGGGGCACAGTGATGATGGGTCAGGCAGGGCAGTTAGTAGGGGGCTGCAATTCTCGGGGACGCAGGGGAATCAGTAGGAGCTGTGGGTTAGTGGGGACGGGGAAGTGATAGTTATGGGGCAGCGAGACAGAGGCTATGGGGCTAGAGGAGCCGTGGGCAGGGGGCAAAAAAGGCAGGAGAGGCCGCGGCTAGAGGACGGGACAGGCCTTTGGGCAGTAGCCGGGAGGGGGCCGTGGCCAGGGGGAGGGCGGGGGGTCTGCACGCTCACGGAGTCTCTCCCCTGTACACCCTCCTCCTGCTGCTCCTCCTCCAGGCAGCGCCTCGTGTCTGCCCCAGGCGTTGGCGAGGCCTCAATCTCCCTGCAGGACCCCCGCGACCTCCCCCTACCTGCGCAGCCCCCGCCTACGAGCTCAGCCTCCCCCGGCGCGGCCCCGACTGACTCCGGAGCTTGACAGTTTCAAACTGCAATCGGTATAAGCCAAAGCCACTGAGATTGGTTCCGAGTGCTTTTGTAACGCAGCCTATCATTGGAGAGCCGTTTCGTAGCACAGCCAATCAGTGCGTGCGCAACTAATTCGGAAACTGCCTCCCCAATGGGCGTGCAGGGGTTAGCGGCCTCGCGGGCATGCAGTCTCCACTCTGCCCGTCTCTGATGGGCGTCATGTGCCCCGTGGGCAGGGCAGAGATGCTTCCGCCCGCCGATTGGCCAGTCATGCTGCCCGGGCCGGTAAGGCGGGTAGCGAACGGGCAGTTGGGCGTGAGGGTGTCACGTGAGCAGGGTTGGGCTCAGGCAAGTGGTGCGCGTGGCTGATGCTCCGGCCCAGCTGCCTGGTAGGCCGGTGTCCTTTGCGGAAATCAGTGATGAGCCTCCTTCCCCCCCACACTCCCCCCAGCTGGGGCCGCTCTGGTTCGTAGCCTCTGGCGTTTGCACCGAAGCCCGGCGCTGGCTCGGAGCACGAAGTGCCGGGGCTATAATGAACAGAAAGGCAGCCCCAGATTGTAGGTCTAGGCCTGCGTACAAATAGGGAATATTTGACCCTTTCTCTCCGTTACACCATTTAAATCATGCGTGTGGTAGGACAGGGTGAGCGGCCTCAGGTTACACTAGTAACACCCACACCATCTGCGGTACAACTGTCACCTTTCCCACAAAGTCTAGCTCAGAGAGCTTACCACATAAACCTGAGATGTAGCCTGACCCTACTGTAATGGCAGAAGGTAGCATCACAATATACAGATTAGGGCAAATATGGAATATATTGTATTTGAGATTTTTTATTTAAACCCTTCTATTATTTCTAAATGTTTTTAACACCTCTTAAAATGGAAGCAACCAAACCACCAAAAAATGTTATTCCCAACAATACATAGTCTCCCTCCCAAAATAAAGTTTTCATCCCACACAGATTGTTCCTTGGCTGCAAGTGTTCCTTGGCTGCAAGAGTGTCTCCATGGAGGCCATACACATACATCTTTGCTTCCACCTGCCTCTGGTCCTGTGCCAAACACAGCTTGAGCTGAACCACAGACCTGCCACGTCTCAAGTAGCAAAAAATTACAGTGTCCCTCTCATGTGGAATAACAATCGGAAAGTTTCCTTTCAATAAATGCTTCTTTTAGCTGGTCAATGGGAATGGAACTTTTTTTTACCAAGGCACATTCAGGGTTATTGAGACCCGGTACATTTCTTTGCCATGTCATCATCAAAATCCTGACTAAAGAGATTCAAGGATTCTATTGCTGTATTAGTTATATTTTATTTAATACTAGGGCAGCTGCAGATTTTAAATGTTTTTGCTATAAGGGGTTTTTTCCTGCTGTATTAGTTATATTTTATTTAATACTAGGGCAGCTGTAGATTTTAAATGTTTTTGCTATAAGGGTTTTTTTTCTTTCCAGAAAAATGTATAAATAGTAGTTGCAAACTAATGTTTTCAAACTACTATTTTCATTATGTGGATTAGACAATGGTGTAGGGAGAAGGATCTAGATTTATTAGGAAGGGGATACACTTTTGGGACAGGAGGGGCTTATACAGGAAGAATGGGCTCCAACTAGACCAAAATGGAACCAGCTTGCTGGCTCTTAATATTTAAAAGGTTGTGGGAAAGTCAACAGGTGTGGAGGAACAGTAGGTTTGTACAGAGACATCCCTTAGAGGAGGATCTGTTAATGAACTTGGCTCTTTATGTCTGAATAGGCAAAAGATGATAAAATTCATGTAGGATCTGATGAAAAACAGTCAAATGAAAAAAAAATCTCACTCAGTTACCTCATGAAATGGCAGAAACCTAAAAAGGGGCAATTTTTAAAAGTGCTTATATAGAAGTCCAAATAATAAGATGGGTGAACTAGAGTGCCTCATATTATATGAGGATATTGATATAATAGACATCACAGAAACTTGGTGGAATGAAGATAATCAATGGGACCCAATAATACCAGGGTACAAAATGTATCAGGAGAGAACAGATTATGCTCTTGGGGAAGTGGCACTACATGTGAAAAAAAGTGTAAAATCAAATAAAGTAAAACTCTTACATGAATCAAACAGTACTGTAAAATCTCTGATAATTCCATGCTTGAATAATAAGAATACAGCAGAAGGGATATACTACTGTCTACTTGACCAGGGTGGTGATAGTGACTGTGAAATGCTCAAGGAGATTAGAGAGGCTATTAAAATAAAGAACTCAATGGGGAATGTCAACTATCACTATATTGCCTGGATACATATCACCTCAGGATGGGGCGCAGAGATAAAGTTTCTTGCCATCTTAAATGATTGCTTCTTGGAGAAGTAAGTCTTGGAACAAACAAGAGGAGAGGCAATTCTTGATTTGGTCCTACATGGTGCACAGGTCTGGTCCAAGAGGTGAATATAGACAGCCTGCTTGGTAATAGTGACTATAATATAATTAAATTTAACATCCCTGTGTCAGGGGAAACACCACAGCAGCCCAGTTTCAGAAAGGGGGACTATACCAAAATGAGAAAGTTAAACAGAAACCCCTGCAAGCTGCAGGGAAACCTTTTAAAGACACTATAATAGAGGCTCAATTTAAAATGTATGCACTACATTTAAAAACATAATAAGAGAACCAAAAAAGTGCTGCTGTGACTAAACAAAGTAAAAGAAGCAGTGAGACACAAAAAGGCATTTAAAAAGTGGAAGTTAAATCCTAGTGAGAAAAACAGAAGCATAAACTCCCACAAGCAAAATGTAAAAATATAATTAGGAAGGCCAAAAAAGAATTTAAAGAACAAATAACAAAAAACTCAAAAAGTGATAGCAATAATTTTTTTAAGTACATCAGAATCAGGAAGGCTGCTAAGCAACCACTGGGGCCACAGCATGATGGAGAGCACTAAAAGGAGCACTCAAGGACAATAAGGCCATTATGGAGAAACTAAATACATTTTTTGCATCCGTCTTCATGACTAAAGATGTGAGGGAGATTCCCAAACCTGAGGTATTCTTTTTAGGTGGCAAATCAGAGAAACTGTCCCATGCTGAGCTGTCATTAAAGGAGATTTTGGAACAAATTGACAAACAGTCACCAGGATCAGATGGTATTCACCCAAGAGCCCTGAAGAAACTCAGTTGTGAAATTGAAGAATTATAGGTTGGACCTCTCTAGTCCAGCACCCTTGGGATCTGAGTGGTCCCAAAGGAGGAAGTTTTCTGGACCAGGGAGGCCACCTAGGGCTCCCCACATGGCCACCAGCCCATCTAGTGTGCTGCCCCAGCCACTGATGGGACTCCACTCCCGGCTTCTGCCGTACTCCAGCCAATGCTGCTCCTTTTCCCTGGCTGGAGCATCTCCCTGCCCTCGGCCAGCAGTGGTTCAGTGTCCCCGGCTGCTGGGGCTTCCCTGTCTCCAGCCGATGGAGCTCTGCCCTTGGCTGGCAGGGCTCCCTGCCCAGCCCTTTTCCAGCTGCCAGCCACTGTCTGAGCTCTCAGCCGCTGGCAACTTCTGTGGCTGGGGCTTTCTGGTAAGTAAACTGTATCCACTGGATCCCTCTTTTCCACGATTGTTGAACCCCTTCAGAGACTTCTACTATATCGTTGAGGTATGATTTTCCTTCACAGAAATCATGTTGACTTTTCTCCAACAAATTATGATCACCTATGTGTCTGACCATTCTGTTCTTTACTATAATTTCAACCAGTTGTTCTGATACTGAAGTCAGGCTTACTGGCCTATGATTGTTGGGATCACCTCTGGAACCCTTCTTAAAAATTGGCATCACATTAGCTATTATCCAGTCATTTTGTACAAAAACTGATTTAAATGATATATTACAAACTAAAGCTACTACAGGTTGAACCTCTGTGGTCCAGGACTCTTTGGTATGGCAACATCTGGACCAGTGGCTAAACTCCTGTTCCCAACACAGAATTTTTCTTTAAAATTAATCCTGTGGATAAATTCACATACACACTTCACAGGAAGGGATTTCCATTTTCTGCTCAGCAGAATACAACAACGGCTTTGATTGTATCAATATTTCACTGTGCTCTCCAATGACTATTGATTACACTTAATACCCATTTCACTGAACCATCTGTAGCAAATTCTATTTGGAACAGTAATATGCATTGAATAAACTTTTTTTAGTTATAAAAAACAAAGATTCTGACTATTAAATGAATAACTGGGATCTTTCAGGTACCCCAAAAGGAAGATTTGGATATAGCATGAAACACTGAAACTTATGATCAATTTTTAATTAAAATATCAACCAAAAAAACCTTCATATCAAAACAGTATGTGTTTTTCTTAGAATAAGGAAGTTGTATGAGAATCAGGGTCTTTTCCACCTAACTCCAGCTCCCCGTCCCCCCGGAAAATATGTACCAGTTCCGACTTACATACAAATTCAACTTAAGAACAAACCTACAGTCCCTATCTTGTACGTAACCCGGGGACTGCCTGTACTATAACATGATTCGAAAGAAAACTAGATAAGTTCATGGAGGATAGGTCCATCAACGGCTCGTAGTCAGGATGGGCAGAGATAGTATACCTAGCCTGTTTTGTAGAAGCTCGGACTAGGCAACAGGAGATGGAGCCTTTGTTGATTACCTGCTCCAATCATTCCCTCTGGGGCACCTGGCATTGGCCACTGTTGGAATACAGGATATTGGGCTAGGTGGACCTTTCGTCTCACCTAGTATGGCCAGCCTTGTATTCTTATGTGAAGTTTGCATAAGCCATGGGTAAGATTTATGAATGGAAAATACTCACTTTGCTGGAAAGGTAAGATTTTACAAGCCCAGGTTGTATGAGGGTTACAGTGCTTGGCACCACCAGGGCACTGTGCTCTGGAACTATCTACAACCCTCAAGAAAAATCCAATCCAGGACACATGGTCATCCCCACACTTCCAACTACATATAGTAAATTATTACCATGGATAAAACACTATTCCCCCTCAGTGTGCCCTGATTAATTCATAAATGCTAAAACCATTTGAGTGTAACAAATCCCCATCCATTTAAAGTCTATATCAGTCCTTGTGGACAGTTGAGGGTAAAGGAATTACAAGGCTTTTCACCATCTACCCTCTCAACAATACCTTCATTGCAGGGAAGGTTGCCTGTTCAGTATTTGAATATTAAGACAGGATCAAGCTATCTTGCCTCAGGCCAGAATACCTAATGGGCACATGCTGCTACCTAGCAACATAATCAAGCTCCCAGTTACTGCCTATGTTGTGTTGGCAGCAAGAAGTGCACGTTGCTCCTTTACTAAAGCAACCGTGTATGTCTTCACAGAATGGTTTGGAAACTTAATGGTCCATAATAAATAATAATAAATTGTAATATGATTCTCACCAATCAGGGCAATATTTGGCCTTTAAGAAAATATGGGGATGTCAATTTTTCAACACAAGACTGCTTTTAGTTGAGGAGATGCAAGCATTTGAAAATTGAGGGAGGCTCACAGTGATTACTCAAGCCAATCTTTATTGTGCAAACCTTCACCATCACTTCGTAATTAGGTGGATAAAAGGCAAAGGAGATCAAAGGGTATGAAGCTGATTACTACAATGAAAGGGATAATTGTAGATGCCTAGAGTGTGAGAAAATGACAATAATTATTCTCCTCCCACACGTTGGGTTTTGTCAAATGACGACTTCTATTGAAACTTGTTGATTCCTACTGTGAATCAAAAATACTAATCGTCTTCATTGTTAACTTCTATAGCCATGTAGCTTGTACAGATATTTTCACTGAGTGAAGATAATTATACTAGACCTTTGCAACTACTGGCTTTTCTAGTCAAACAAGAGTCACAATAGTGGTTTGGAGCCAGAAAAAGTATCTGTACAAACTGAACCATATAGGAAAAGTTAACAAGTCTAAGCACTGTAGCTCTTATTTTTCTATGCTTTTGTTTGTGTTTTTGCACAGATTTAATCATTTTAGTACTAACAGAACCCCCTTTTCTTCAAAAGATGTGTCATCTGCATGAAATTTTCATTTTTGTCAAGTTTGGTCTGAATTATGTTACACAAACTAGTTATTGTAATACTCAATAAGTTTCCCTGGAATTTGGAACCTAATAAGTGAGTCTTTCCTAGTGTAAGAGAAGCTGCTCTGTAACTTATTAATACTAT